TGGTTCCATAAATCATGGGGCATGGACGTCGGTCTCACCTTTTCCGCGGCGTTAAAGGAGAAGGTACAGGGAAAGTTGCGCTCGGAAAGTCAAAGGAGACTGATTTATCGCTGTGGTAATTGGTCTTCGAGACCGCGATATTAGAAGAGGGACTATACACCATTTTTCGACCCATAGCCGGCGCGCGCTTTATACGTAAACGCTCCCAGCTGCGAGCGAGTGCTTAGAACACGTTAAGGAGAGCTAACGGCATTTTCGATGGGATGCCCTCTATTCGTTTTAGTGACAACGAAGATAGAGCGGATATATATTTATCTGCGAATCCTGGTACGGTCTAAATGAAGGTGTAGTCGTTAACTCGGTTCTTGACGAGATCACAAAAATTATTAAAGGCTTTTTAGTCGGGTTAGATACCTGTCTACAATGTATAACAGGTCGGTCTCTAATGACATCAAATTAAAGAAAAAAAAAACAAATGTGCGTGCACCGTATTATTCGAGCTACTTTAAGCCCCGTTGCAACGTGAAATGAAACGATGTGCTTATTATTAATATGGACAAATAAAATCTCATTTCTGCGGAGCCATTTTGCGCCGTTAAATTTAAGTTGGCGTAAACGCAGTGTACTTAATTTAGATCGGCAAAGCGGGAACCCTAATGGGTGTGGATGTTTTCAGCCTATAGGCCTCGCTGTAACTGATTATATCGCCGATTAAAAGCGCTTGAACATCGCTGTTTTAGGGATTCCCAAGACCTAGAGCAGACGCGCGCTCGCGAAAATTCTTCAAAATAAAATTAGATCTTCTCTTAAACGACTGTTTACTTTTCAGCTCCGAATAGCGGACTCGGGATATACGTGGTTATCGAGACCCCGCTCCGAAATGCATAACTCTCCATTGCGTTCGGAAGTGTTCACACTTTACCTAGCAGATATTTAAGACGCGTCCCACCCAGACACTTTGAGATGTAGGAAGCTTACATCAGATAAAGAAATTCCCGACAGCAGATCCGACGTCACGGAATCGTTGGTAAGCGCGAGATTCCCAAACGATGCGGTAGGTCACAGTGAAGGTGGAACGCGAAGCTCGATCACCGAGAGCAGGACGCGGCGAAGCTCAGAAGTTGCACGTAGTCAACCCTCCGTTTCGCATTCCTAGCACGCCAATCCGCGATGTTTGTGTGCTCTGGATGTTCCCTCGTGTCTCCGATCGAAAGCCGAAGCCACGAGCTGCTTGGAACAATCCCGTGTCGATGAATCTAAAGCATTACGTGACTTCAGTCCGCTCGAACACGCGTTTCAGCCAGCCCGGACACGTGACCGGTCAGAGGTGTGAAATTCGTGTTGAGGGCTCGTAAGCATTCGCCAAGCCAGAGAGACAGGAAGATCGTTTCAATTGTGCGTGGCTCAGCTGTGATTGGTTGCCGAGCGGCATGGGCGTACGAACCGGGGGGGGGGGGGGGGGGGGGGGGGGGCAAAGGGCGCTTGCCCTTCTCCGTTCTCAGCGTGGGGGGCAAGGCATGTGCTTTGCCCCCCACGCTGAGAACGGCAACACTGGTCGGCAGCGCCCAAGGGATGCCAAGGGAATCGCCCCCCAGTCCTGGGGGGGGGGGGGGGGGGAGGGGGGGGGTAAGGTCTAGTTTGCCCCCCCCCCCCCACACACACACACTCAAAAGCAAGTTGGTACGCCACTGCCAAGCGGTACCGAACCTTGCAGCAAATGTTTGCTGCCTTGTATAGACCTTTTCACCCTCCTCAGCATGGGCGCTGCCATCTTGAAATCACGTGACCCGGCAGCCATTAGGTTGCTTCAACTTGCTACTCCGCTCTCCCCTCCGCGCCTTAGAGGACGCGTTGTATTCGTGTTTTTCGTCGCGTTTCGCCGCTCTTTTTTGCCTTACCTCGGAAACTGTAGTCCGATACGTCTACTCGACGATTAAGACATCTCGAGGGCTCAGATGTCCTTGTGACAACTAATGTTTGTTTACTAATAGTGGCGGAACATTCTCAGTAAGAAGCGCGTATATTTATATCGCGCGTTGAGGATTGGAAGGAGTCAAGAATAGTCAGCGCAAGGAGACTATCTGTACTTCCCGAAAGTATCCTCTTTGCAATCATAATATATTGAAAACAGTTTTGTTTTATTATGTGAGGAAACTCGCGGAGAAGATGAACAACGAACGTTTAACTTGCATTTTATCTGAGGCTAGAAGTAATTGTACGTCAACATCAGGCGATTTATTAGTTCATAATATCACACCTACATGTGTAGGAGGTTCTCAATAATTGTATGCCGTGCTTGCTCCCATTTCAACAATCATTTAAGTGATTTATTGATTATATTTAAATAACCAGTTCAATCCACTTCATTTATATTAACACAAAGATTGGGACTTCCCGCGCAAGAAACTGACACAGTCATTAACAGTAGCGAGTTTTAGAAAAAAAAACGTGCACTAAGAAATAACGTCGTTTGTTTCTATTTGCAAATCCAAAACGCGGTTTGGGTTCGACGCGTAAACAATAATGACGACGGTTTCTTTTCTTTTTTTTTGCGTTGCGTGTACCTGGAATCTGTTTTGCCAGTACCTGGAATCCGTAATATTTGACGCCGAAAAAGAAAAAAAAAAAAAAAAAAAAGCCGTCTGCAAGACAATTACTTGAGTCCAGGATTGTCGATGGCGAATAGAGGTTTACTTTTGGTGGCTGGCGACGCCGAAATTTACAAAGCCAATATGTTCACAAACAAATATATATTTGTTCACACAGGCCCGTGAAGTGGTGCCTAGCTCTAGAATTCAGCAAAACTTTCCGAGGTATTTCACCTCCTGCGTCCTTTAAGTTTAATTGGCCAGATTTTCGGAAGACAAATGCCAGATTTAATTTGACGGGCCTGTCACTTATATCTTGAGTAAGCAAATGTTCATATAACAATAATTTATTTTCTAGGGCCAATATCGCGAGATGCTGCTTATGAGTAGTTTAGCAGGGTTGATAATTTAAGAAGTTTCCTACTCGGCCTCTCAAAACATGCTCGAGTACTCAATTAAAAAAAAAAGAGTCAGGGACGATATTACTTGTTTATATTAATTATCTGCGTCATTACACAACACGTTTTTATTCAGCGAAGTTCACTAAAGTTTGGGTGCCTTCGAAAACCAAACAGTGAGTAGTAAACTCGCGAGTTCATCTGTTCTGACCGATTCAGCACATTGCTAACCAAGCTGTCGATATGCTTCTTTACATTCCCGTGTTAGTCTCGTCATCACTTTGTTTTTTCTGAAAACCGGTGCCAATGAATACGGCCGTAGACGATGGTAATCTTCCCTGTACCTCAGTCAGGCGTTTTGCAACCGTCCATAATCAGGTACATCAAAGGAGTTGGTAATAAAAATACGCAATTTAGGCTAAAATACACCTCGTAGTCCTCAAAGTGGCTTAATACCAAAGCTTTTATTGGTTGTGTGGTACAAGAAAAATGAACGTATCGCAAAACTAAGCCAAAAATAACGTAAAACAGCAACATAGCCGCGTTCCCGTTGAAACCGAAACCAACCAAATTGAAGCAACCTAATGGCGGCGAGTGCGTTAGCGCCCTCTATCCGCCGCTGAGGCAACTACTAAAATGAAAAGGTCTATACAATAGGGATCCTTCACTTGAATTATAGGAACGGCTACGATCGCGGCAGCGCCCAATAGAATATTAGTAACACAATACCGAAAATGTGGCTGTGCCATAAACTAAACCGGGACCTCCAGAGCGACAGTCGCACCATTCCAAAAAAAGAAAAAAAAAGGGGGATCTTGCAAATCCTCAAGTGGCGTAACAAATTCACCGCTAATTGCTCGAGGAAAATGCAGTTTAAACTCCTGTTAAGTTATTAACTACATTACACCAGCCTCATTACAACCACCTCCCCGACCAGATTAAAGTAATTCGGTTGTCTACTTAAAAACTCGTTAGCCGCGACAACCTGTCTCTACTACACAACCGCGTCACTCCAACGAGCGACATGTACCCGCCGACGCAAATCCTGCCAGGACGCACCTGCCAATATCCTCCGGCGGCACCGGGGTTGACATTAGCGAACAGTTCCTTCGTTTCCTTTTCCCCCAAATAAAAAAAGAAAGGTAACCAAACACCGCAGTAACGTAAAAATGGCCGGGAGGGAGCTTGCAAGATGCGAGTTCTCTTTCTTCCGCACGAATGACGCGACTGCCTCCAAGTTAAAAGAGAAGCACAGTCCTTCGGGGGAAGGGGGATGGCTTCCCCTTAGGGCGTTTTCAGGCATCCAGTGCTGCCGTGGGAGAAGCGAATGAAGTCACGTGGTGACGCCAAACAACGCCAAACAAGCGTGCGGGTCGAGCACCGAGGAGGGGATGAATTAAACGGGGGACAGGCGTGCTCCCTCACTCATGCTATTCTCCTCTCCCTCTGGGCCTAGCGACTAAACGGGGCGTCTTTAAATCCAGCGACCCAGCTCGTTCGAGAGCTCGTGGCGAGTAATTGCGGTCCCAGCGGCCGCCACCGCGCGTTGCAGGCGGGCACTAATCTCATTGTAGGTTCGTGGCGGGGTAAGCGATTGTCCGTCGCCTAAAATATTTAACCGCCCCCACGCGTGTGTTCCCTGTAAGGTAAGAGATGTACGCTGGCGACTCAAGATGGTGCCGCTTCCCAGCTACAAAAGCGCGCGCAGGCGTAAGAACGCTCCGCTTCATTTGGCGATTACAACCGGAGTGTCCAATCGAAATTTTCATCGCTTCGGTTCGGGTTACGGTTCACGGTTTTTGGTTCAGTTCCGGGGATCAGAAATGACGGTTTGAACCGCTAAATTGAGAATATATATTCGGCGTTGTTTTGGCAATAGGCACCATTTCAACCATGAAACGAGAAACTTGATAAGTTTTCATCATTCGTACATTCCAATTGTATTTTCAGGTGGTGCCAACGAGCTAGGTGTTCTGAGACACGTATGAAAAACAAAGCAGACAAGGAAACTTACCAGTGGTGCGGCGCAACCCTTGGTAAGTCCTGAAACGACAGAAAATCGCAAAGTTAGGGTCATCGAAGTGTTTCCTCGAGCGTTTTCAGATATATATTCAAGAAACAAAATATTCTCAGCGAAGAGGCACTGAGTGACAGATAGGCCCAATTTCGCTCTTAATTTTATCTATCATGCGACTGTACTTAGCTTAGTTCGACGTGAACGCGTTGGTGAAGGTAAATAAAAGCAGAAAGAAAAAACATAGGGACGGACAGAACAGCACCTCTTTCGACCTCTTCCGTCTTCACCGAAAGAGGTGCGGTTCTGTCCGTCCCTATGTTTTTTCTTTCTGTTTTTATTTGTATATAGCTATAATTATTTCTTGAAGCTTCCGCAAGAACAACGATATAAAATTCTTTAGACCAAAGCACGACATATAACGACAGTGGAAGTGCCAACAAAATTTTAAAAAAGAGGAAGGGTAAAATGAGTCAGGTACAACACAGTGCTTGAATTACCAAAAAAGTAGTTGACGTAGAACGCGAACTGGAAGAAAAACATTTTTCCAGACAAATTAATATCGATTCAAAAGTCACCATAACAAAAAACAAAAATTCAAGATGTCTATAAACAAACTCCTACTTAAAAGACGAAGATCATAACGCACGGGAACAGGAGCAAGACAGACCAAGCTATCATCATCGAGATGCAAATGAGCTCTATTCCAATATTTTATTTATACTCTTTCTTTTTTTTAACGAGATTTAAGCTTTACTTTTTAAATCTATAATTACAACATCGCGAATGTAGCAAAAACAAAAATCGAGTAAGACAACCTAGCGGGTCGATACGGCTATATTTTGTACCAGTACAACATGAATTGAAAAGCTGCCGCACCTTCCTCGCCTCCATGAAGCAGGCCAGAAAGCTGCGAGTGCGTGGAACGAACGAAACCGTACTCCGTTTCATCTTTAAGGTGGACCAAGATAAACAAATACGAGTTCTTTTTTATTTCTTTTTAACGTTTGATTGTTGTTATCCGTCTCATTAGAGCGCACAGCGCAACGTCGGCTGCTCATTGGCTAACCAGGCCTCAGAATACACTGACGCGGTGCACTAACCGTACCCGACTGGCGAATAACTTGGCTCCAGCCTTCGCTTCGGTCCAAGTCAACGTAGAGTTGCGTACAAAATACACCCATATCCGAAGCCTTATCCAAAAGCGAGAAGCCGAAGGTAGAACGAAAAGAAAAACTTCCGCCGCACGGTCTTCTTTTTTATGCGTCATTGAGCCGAGCAAACAGAAATTTATCACGAAGATTGCAAGCCTTGCCGGGACGACCATCGGATGAAATTCTACTTTTCTTTACTTCGATGTGCGCGGTGCGTGAAGTCATACGGATATGCCGATGAATGGCGGAACGCCGTATCCATTTCAAAAGGGGTTTTCTTCACATAAACATATATCGTTGCAGGTTGTAGAAAACAGATACGGGAGCGAACGTATTTTTTTAGAAAGAGAGGAGGCGCGTTCCACTCATCAATTCCCTTATCCGACACTCGGAGATGTTTACTTTTGTTCGACTTGAGCACCGACGTTACCGAATAGATGACAGCGGGCACGAAAACGACTTGGAGAGAACAGAAGGCTGCCGCCTACTTATCAGCTGTAATCATGGGCGTACACCGGCAGGCCTTGATAAAACAACTTGCAACGCATATTGTATCCGTCTTCACCGAGAGGACAGCGATGGCCGCAACTTCAAATTTTATTTTTATCCAGGACTACCAGCACGCTCGCACTATTACAGGAAGATACGTTTCGAATAGAGTATAGCTGGGCAAGAAAGTCAGGTGAATGAAAGGAACCGTTTTATCGAAACAAATGCCTCGATTCGACCGGTGAGGTAAGAACAGTTCCGACCGAATAAATAATGCAAGACACCTCCAACACGGCTCGTAACTCACTGCAGGCGAAAGGCTCCTATAGTAGCAAGCATTTTCTCTCTTCTACAACATCCATCATGCATCTCGCTCTTCCCTCTACAAGAAGTCCCGAAAAAAAAAGAAAAAAAAGACGCTAATGTATTGGATATTTTTTTTTTTTTTTTTGCTAAAATAAATGACATCGTCGAAAGCCGATTCCCCAGGCAAATATAGCAGTACGAACAAGCTGCCAACGTTTCAGAACTCACCGTTATTTTATACAAACGTAATAGGCGATTTGGTTAAATTTTCAAAGAGAAAAAGGCGACCAACTGAGCTCTCGAATACGCGGAGTCGAATGGCGCCGATTACCGAAAATGGGCGGAATGAACGGGCACCGTTTTGCCATTGAAATTTTCCGAAAATCACTTATAACTTTTGAATGAGGTAACGGATTGAGTTATGAAACCTTGGTATTTGGTTCGAACCTCTAGCGCTACATTTTGGGCGGAGAATGGGCGCTAAACAAAACGTAATTTATTTTGCAAAAAAAAAAAAAAAAAAAAAAAAGAGGGACACGTCGTTTATATTTTTTTACAGCGTCAAATAATGTGGTCAATGACAAAATGAGAACGGCGGCAAGGAACTTCGGCGGTGCTTCGGCGTCTCGTGCAAGTCGAGCGAGCACGCGCATCCAAAGCACGGCGGAAGGCAACGTTCAGCAGTTCTCTCCCTGACGCACTGACTACATGTAGTCAGTGAGTCAGGGAGATTGCATACTCAGTTCTCGTGCAAGCCGAGCGAGCACGCGCATCCAAAGCACGGCGGAAGGCAACGCTCAGCAGTTCTCTCCCTGTCACACTGACTACATGTAGTCAGTGAGTCAGGGAGAATGCATACTCAGTGTGTCAGGGAGAGAACTGCATAGCGTTGCCTTCCGCCATGCTTTGGATGCGCGTGCTCGCTCGACTTGCACGATTCTTTCTGCTTTTTGTGTCAGAAAGATGGAAGGGTTGATATACTGCAGTCCCTCCAAAAGAAGGCGAAAAGAAAAGTCTCATCAGTAATCGAAGAGGAAATCTCGAGCAGTATATCAACCCTTCCATCTTTCTGACACAGGAAGGGAGAGGGGGGGGGGGGGGGGGGAGAAGGGGGGGAGAGGTGCTCCACCTATGAAGTTATTAAAGTTCCCGAACGAGTAGGTTTCCGACGTAATCAGTAAAAGAGCGACGCCCCGTGAGTATACAAAATGAGCAACAGCGCCTCTCGTGCGCGCATCCATGTGTCGATGCGAATTTTGCGTCATTCGTTATACGGAGAGCTTCGCACTCGTGTCTCGAAACACGGGAAGACATTTTCAATTTGCGCGCCTCGTTTGCGAGAAAGATTGCTTTCTCGGTCGTGTCTCTGCCTTGTCTCTGTTCGAGCTCGCGTCTGTCGCCGGTCGCGAAATCTTTCCTCTATAGATCCTAAGATGAGCGAGAGAAAGGGAGAGACAAAAAAAAAAAAAAAAAAGAGGGCGCGTCGCGAATATTTTTGACTCCCTTCACCCGTATGCTGGACAGTGCGGTGGGACCCGCGCACTTGCCGGGCCAATCAATCGCCCGCCTTTGATCACGTGACCAAGGTCTCCGCGCGTGTGGAGGGAGCAGACAGGTACGCGTTGCTAGGAGGAAGTAATGAACTACCGTTAGTCGCTTTTCGATCAAACAAAAGTAACTGTTCGTTACTATAGTTACTACGATTCGAAAGGAACGCGCTCTGCCTGAAAGTAACGGGTTATTTTCATATTACTCTGAATGTGTCGTTCTCGCGAAGCGGTAGCCGCTTCTAATCTTAGTCGCCGTTAACAATTCCTCGCATTTTGACACGTTCATTCCGGGATAACAGCGGCTCTACTGCAATACGTTGTTCACATCTTTGTTACATTAAGAAGTAACAAGAATGCTTTAATCGTTCCTTCCCTCAATAAAATATCGAGGTCGTTACTTTGTAACCGAAAAAAAGAGGAATTCGGTAAAAGTAACAAGTTAGGTACAAGTCTGGGCGGGGCCGTGATCACGTGGCAAAAGATAGGCGTGTGACTGGTCCATCGAGCACGCGGCTTTCACCGTACTTTCAGTTTAGGAATGGACGGCGTGTACGAGTGGCTGCAACTCCGAGTGGCGAGCGCTCGTTCGGCAACGCTCGCGCGCGCAATTATCTAAGTGCCGCCTGCAATTTCATAGAAGCCCGAATCGCGTTCGGCTTCGCCGTCCAACCGGCCCTCGGGACGGCGTCGATGATGATGATGTCTCTTCGGAACTTTATTACGACGAGGCCGACAAGCTGGAAAGAATTCGCCCGTCCCATTGTGCGATGAGCGCGCCGTGGCCGACGGGGCGGGTTACGATGGAGGGGGCTGCATTTGCAATTCGAATCGGTCGCCGCGGACCTTGCGTATATGTATATGCTGGTAGCTGTTATCGGCCAGAGGCACTGTGGGGATAATAGTGAGAGAAAGCAAATCACCCCATGATGAATCTATATCGTGGAAATGGAAGATGAGCAACAACAGACTCCGGGGAATCTGGTCAAACCGGAATCGGTTGTGTATTAATTGTCGTACGACATTATTGGATGGAGATTTTTATAATGTTGTTAGTTTCGGTTCACGGTGAAAAACAGAGGCAGTTATACTAGTTGTTACATTAAGAGAGAAAAAAAGAAGTTTCGCGCGTCACTCACGCGCTAACAAGATTTGTTCGCCGAAGGAAGAAACGATGCTTTCGGCGTTTGAAACGTCTACGACTCGATGGAATAACATAAAACTAATCTAAGGTACACCTACATATGTATCTTAATCAACACATGAAGAGGACATTAGTAACATTTCTCGAGGAGCCAGACTTTCTTTGTGTTGTTGTTACTATGGTACTTGAGCTGGATACGAGTAGGGTTGTGTTGAAATGAACCTATAAGTGTTTCCTCTTTTGCTCTTTATTGTGATTCGGTGTTGGAAGCAGCTACTCATGTCAGAGACAGAGTAGACAGAGTGCTAAAGGTACAAGGTACTCCTTCTAGAAAAAGTTATAAGGTTACAGAAAGAGCCGACCAGGAAATATACACGATACTCATCTCG